TTGGGAGGAGACTGGTGCCAGGACACTTCATCATCCTTCTCCTCCCCTGCACCCAAGACATGAGGTTTGGGTCCCACACGACTCCTCCAAATTACCAGCTGCTCTTCCGGGCCCTGTCCCAGTGTCACCTGCCTCTCCTCTCTGGGCTACAAGGAACTTGATTCTTTTGCCCCCAACAGAGATGGAAATCGCAGGAGGCCAGTCAATTTCCCCCATCCTGTTATTGCCTGACAAGTGCAGCGTTGAGGCTTGTCCAGGGCTTTGCACACTGTTCCTGCCCTTGCCAGCATGGGGACTTCTTCGGGTGCTCAAATGGCCCCGGGGCCCGGGGGTCACAGGTAGGGCTCACGTGCCTAAGAGACGTGGAGAAATATCAGAGCAGTTGTGGTCAGTCTGGGAGGAGGCAACTGGGGGACCACTCAAGTTGGATGGTGCTGGGGGTGGGGGTCTCTGACGTTTCCATATACAAAGGCACCAAGGACTCACGGTGACATCCGATCACAGTTTTCTTTTCGGTCACTTAGTTGCTATAGATATATTTCAACAAACACTGGAGCACAGCTTGAAAGCAAGCAAGATTTCCATGAGTGGGTTTTGGCATGGCTTTAAGAGGCTACGTGTTCTCGCTGCAGGTGTGACTTCCAACTCTGGAAGGAACACAGCACACGTGACGTACCTTGCTTACGAACGAGAGAAAAGTCATGGCTCACTGATCTCATCCGGAAGAAGGGGAGTTATTCTCGTGATGGAGGTGTCCTTGAGGTGTTCCCCAGGGATCCTTGTCATGGCTCCAGTTTGGCAGAATTTTGTTAAACAGATGCAAGAGCTCCTTGCATTTGTCCCATTGTTACCTTTGGTAGCTTGGTTCCAAAATGTGGTCCACGCTGTCCCACTACCCTCACTATATGGGTGCATCTCTTTTCACAATTCTTATGGTTTAGGATCTTTTAGTTTCCATTGCTGCCATAACGAACTATGACAATTCAGTGGCTTGAAACAAGTTCATTATCTTATAGTTCTGGAAATCAGTTTCATCAGTTTCATCGGGCTAAAGTCAAGATGTTGGCAAGGCTGTGCTCCTTTTAGAGGCTCTACAAGAGAATCTGTTTTCTTGCCTTTTCAGGCTTCTGAAGGCCACTCGCATTCCTTGGCACGTGGCCCCTTCCTCCACCTTTAAAGCTATCCATGTAACATCTTCAGTCTCTGACTCTAACCCTCTGCTTCTACTGTTACATCTGCCCTGACTTTGACCTTCCTGCCTCCCTCTTAAAAGGACCTTCGTGCCTATACTGGCCCCAGAATAATCAGAATAATCCTCCCATCTCACTACTGAATCACCTCTGCAAAGTCTCTTTGGCCATATAAAGTAACATATTCACAGGTATGGGGATTAGGACATGAACATCGGCGGGGCCATTATTCTATAATACTACAAGGTCTATCTGGCTAGAGAGCACCTTACCTGAGGTCACTTTTCTTCTTCTGACTTGAATTTCCTCATCTCCAGAGCAAGGAAGATAAACTTGATCTCTAAGATCCTCCTGGCACTAAAATGCGCTCTTTAAATGCACCTGTGAGATTACAAATTCTATGGATTACAAGCGAGAGAAAGGATCTAAGGATCTAAGCGGATCCTTTCTCTAGATCCAAATCTGCTAACTAGATTTGGAGTCTAGTTAGCAGAGAAGAAGGTATGCTTGGTTGGAGTATAAGGATGGCAGACCAGGATTTTGAGATAAACCGGGTGCACTGAAGCTGAGATGTCAATTAGCTTGTTGGGCTTAAATAAATGGAGCTACAATATCAGCCCAAGGCAAGAGAAAGGAAAGCCAGCATCACTCACATAGAGGTGCTTAATTACTGGGATCTGTAAAGATGACTAAATTCCAAAAGGGATGAATGAAAGAAAAAAGAGCAAATGTTTGCAGACTGACCCAAGAAAGAAGAACTGGAAAATGAAATAGAGGCTTCATCAGATGAAGGCGGTATCATCCTGAACGTGCTAATTGAACTGTTTATTTCAAGGGGACTTATCATCAAGCCCTTTCTAAAGTGGTTACCTACCTCAAATTTGCCCATTTATAAGTTGGATTTTTTAAAAGATGTTTTTTTGTTGTTTTTTTTTTTACTGTAGGGCATGCTACTGGGTCACCCTGAAGATTCTCTTCTAAAAAACAGTTATTTCATACAATTCATTGGTCTATTTAGAGTACTGAAGCTTAATTTTGGAAACACATTTAAAATACATTCAGTTCTGTGTTTGCTAGAACTGAATGATTTAGCTTAGAACTGTTGTCTTTAAGATTGCATTTGGTGAAGTCAAGTAAAAACGACTTATTTACAACATTTCTCTATAACTTGACCAAACTATAATAGCATATACTGATATGTATGATAATTTCCATTAACCATGTTTCACAAAAAGTACACAAGCCAAAGTCGTCTATCTAAATTTCTGAAATATGCTTCACCCAACTTTCCCTTCACTATATATGTCTGTTGTCTATCCAACTTATTTCTATGTGCTTTTTTTAGTAGTAGTTACTAACAAAAGTAGTAAACTAATATTTACTAAAATTTCTAAATTAGTATTTACCAGCAATAATTTAAAAAACCAAGTATAGTTAGATTTACTGAGATGCCAGTAACTTGTTCAAAATGAAGAACTGATTAAAGCTGAGAAAGTACTTTCATTTCAAGCTATCAGTTTAGAAATGCATGCAATCTCTTCCTTCTTTTGGTTAGAATTTTAAGCTAATAACCTGTAAATTCCATAGTATTATAGGACAAGTGCAAATAAATACACAAAAATGATTCAGAAAGTCATTTCAAAGACTTTTTGCTGAAATTCCCTAGACACTGCTATTATTTCTGCGGAGTTCTCACACGTGGCTTGCAGTTGGCACCCAGCTCTGTAAGTTCAGCTCCTGCAGTTTCCCAGGATGTGAGTCTGTGAGTTTTATTTAGATACTATTTTTTGAATATAATGTCAACATAAGTCACGCTTGTTGGACGATCCTCTTACACCTGAAATCTCTTCAAGGTCTTTCAACTGATCACAGTGTTCTAATAACTGAAGTTTAAGTTTGGCAAAGACTAGATCTCTTGCAGGGAAGACAGGAAGCAAATCATTCCCCTCAAATGTTCTGACAGATTGTAGCTTTTCTGAGATGAACAAAAAGTTAGCACATCATTGCAAAACACCTTACTACTAGATAACCTGCAACAAAATAAAGACTGTACAATAGAATGCTGATCATGAAGTCCTGACTTAGCTCTGGCCTTTCTTTTCACACCTAGAGTGTTGGGCTTCAAAAATACATCCCTACAGAACACAGCTTACTGCTCTTCAAAAAGAGCCCCCTTTATCAAGCCGGCCTCAATGCACTGTCTTGTAAAAAGGAGGTACAGAAAGTGAAAATTGGTCAATATCTTTGAATAACAGTTTAGGGAAAAAATCCCAGAAAAAAAAATTAGATACTATAAATGCTTCCGAGCAACTCAGATGAAACACTTAATAAAAACACACTGTCATATTCTAGAGCTAGTTCAAAGTCATGACTAGCAAAGCCAAGCCTCAACTGTGACAACTGACAGTTGCATCGGAAATCACGTTCAATGCGGCTACAGTAACAGAATCCGAAGCCAAACCATAAATTTTATTTTGAATATATAAATAGCAAAGTAATGCCAAGAAACTTTACAGATGTTAGTTTCCTCAGATGACATAATATTCACTTAATAAAAAAGGTGTCATTTAGTCCCAGGAATCTAGTCGAAATATTATAGTATATTATTTCTGTATGTTTGAGGCCTCTAACCTTGACCAAACCTTGTTGGTACATAATACTTGTTCAAAGTATGATGTAAGTAACAGTTCCTACCATAAAAGCAACACTCTTACAAAGTAGGTTTCAGAGAAGGTAAACATTGAACTTTTTTTCTTAAAATGCCTGCCCATGATGGGACTGCAGGTGGCATTATGGTATGTTTATGAGCTGTCTTCAATGCTTAACCCATTCAGCACTACCTGAGCACCGAATGTATGCAAAACAATCTACAACCTGCTTCGGGAAATGCAAAGTGAAATCAGGCGTAGTATTATTTGTCTTCATGTGTACAAGACTCAGGACAGCAAAGAACACATGAATTTAAAAACTATAAGACAGTAAGTGATAAATAAATGTCAAGATGGTTTGAAGAACTCAGTGGGTTGAAAGTGACCTTCTAATGTCAAAGACAAAAGTGTCTATTCCGTTAAAAATGCTACCAGTCCAAAATTCAGATGCCTGCTAGTGAGACCCCTGACTTCTGATAGAGAGCCTAGGCCCAATACTTTAAAAGGCCATCTTTATGGTAAATAACAAATAAAGGAAGTAATCCAAGGTAATTCCAAGATACCTGATCTTCCATTCAAATCACACCACATACTAATATACTTCTAGCCGTGGCATAAATGTCCTTATAAGTCGACCATTTAACAGGTTGACCATTACTTTCCCACGTCACAGAACATTCCATTTCTGAGAGTTTAGTTCCCTGGCCTGATTTCTAGCAGTAAGAGCTTGGTAAAACGTAGTCTTAGACCTAAACCTAGTAGGTTTTTCATGAGTCTTTTTTTTTTTTTAATTGAAGCCGTGACTTCCTCTATGTCACAAGTGTATGAAATTAATATTTCCATATATTGCTATTTCAAGTGCAAAAGAAAAAAAAATTCAACCTGCTCTTTGGAATTAGTGGCCTTGTTGAAGTGCAAATATCATATTCTTTAAAAATAGCTGATTCAAAAAGGAGTAGGGTATTAATGAAAGAAGCTACAATTCGGCACTGATGATCTAACGTGCAAAACATTCGTTTCCTACATGAAGAGACATATGGATCTTTTTGTAGCTTGTTTACGTCCCCCCACTTCCACGACATGCGTTACTAAAATGTATGCACAATTCACAATGGTCATCTTCTACCATAGCTATAGAAGAAGCAACGCATTTAAGAGATACCAGCAAATGATACAGCCAAGTGATGCATAGGAAAACCTTTAACTCAACATTTAGGCAACAAACTAAACCCAACAGATTGGTGGCGGAGCCTCTCCTTCCTGTCGCAGCAACATCTTGGTGGCAGTGGAAGTCCAGGCTTCTCTGCTCCCAGGCACCCTGGGCCTGCTAGTCCAGGGACCAAGGGAAGGCAGGGTCCCAGCAAGAGGGCTTAGGGAGGGGGCTGTCCCCCTTCATTCAGTTTGCGGGGCCCGCTTTGCAGGGCACACACCCTCTGCAAGGAAATGTCTCCCGCAAGGAATCTGGGGGCTCCGCAGGGAACTCCCTCGCAGGAGACCCGAGACCCCCCAGGGAGCCCAGGCGGCTGTGCCCTGGGTGGATGCCCTCGCTCAGTCGCCCTTCTGAAAAGGCCAGCGACAGAGAAGCCCTGGATTTTGCCCCTGCACCAGCGTGCCAAGGAAGCTTTGGGCTTCCCCCAAACAAATTCTGATTTTTAAAAACAAAAGACAGGCTCGTGGCCATTATCAGAGGCGACCACGTTACTCCCAGGGCCGAAAAGCAGATTTGCAGGGGCCAAAGATTAGACAAAAGGCACGAGCTGGCGACAAACAGACCTGGAAATGATTTTTTTTTTGGGGGGGGAGTGATTAGGGCCTCCCAGGTCCAATTCTTTCTCGCCTTCTAGGGAGGATTTCTGGGCCGCTGAGCAAATCCCTACGGTCTGGAAAAGACGTCGGGCAGGGAGGGGGGGAAGACCCCGAAACTTTCCCGAACTGCGGCAGGCGGGTGGCGGGCAGCGGCCGCGGACCTCGGGGTGCCGGGACGCAGGGGCACCCCGGGGCGGCGGCCGCCCGCCAGGTCCCGCCACAACAAAAGGGCCGGGCGCAGCCTTCGCGCTCGGCTTGCGGAACCCTTGCGGGACCCGAGCCCGGAGCGGGGAGCCCTGGGCGGCCCCTGTGGCCGCGGTGGCGGCGGGGACGGCGCCGCGTGTCCGCGGCACGGCATAAAGGAAAGGACCTCCGGGTGCATCCAGACGGGCCGCCAGCCGCGGCAGCACGACAGCTGGTGCCGCCCGCCGGGTCCCCGGTCCCCGCCGCCCGCCGGGCCCCGGGAGCATCTGGCCGGCGGGCCCGCGTCCCCAGCGGCGCCGCCCCTCGGAAGCGCGGTGCGGGCGCAGGCCCGGCGGCTCCCGCTGCGGCTCCGCCCGCGCCGCGCCGCCACAATGCGGCCGGGACCCTCCCGCCGCCGCCGCCCCTGCGCCAGGCCCGCGCGACACAAAGCCCCCGGCCCGCCGCGCCCACCGACCTTGCGCCGCGGCGCCGGGCTCCCGCAGCGTCTTGGTCACCGCCTTCCAGACGTGGCAGCCCAGCAGGCAGAGCAGCAGCGCGGCGGACCTGCTCATCTCCGCGCCGCGGGCCGCCTCGGCTCGGCTCGGCGACAGCGGCCGCGGCGGCGCGTCACGGGCGGCCGGGCGCCGCGCCTGCCTCCATGGCGCTGGCTCCGCGCGCCGCCGCGGATTGGCCGCCCGCAGCCGGCGCTCCTGCGGCGCCCGCGCGCTTCCCCGAGAGCCGCGGCACGGCGGCCCCGCAGCGCCTTAACCCTTCCTGCCCCGCCGCGGCGCCCGCGCCGGCCCTGGTGCACCTGGCGGCCGCCGCGGGAGCCCCGCGTGGCCCTGCGGCCCCTGCGCGCGCGGCGGCCTCCTCGCGCCCGGCTGCGGGAACGCCGCTTCGCGCGCGGCCCCGACACGCGCCCGGGCTCCCATGCCGCCCGGGAGAAGGGAGGACCTGCCTTTCAGGGCGGACCCAATCGATCGCCTGGTCACCTCCGGACTCCGCGGGTCCTGTGCGCAGTGGCCTCCTAGAGTCAGCATCCCACACCCAGCGGCTGTTCGGGTCACAAGCTGCCTGTGGCCGCCAGGGTAGATTTGACACCTCGGCGTTAAGGGCCGGAGGGAACACACTGCCTCAGCCTGTGTAGACTGCAGTAGGCCATCTCCAGGTTGACTTGTACTCGGATGTTTCTAGAAGGTTAGGGTAGGGAGGAATTTACATTTATTGAAGCCCATGCTGTTTGTTTTTTGTTTGTTTCCACCTTTGCTTTGTGTTATTAAAGGAAAAAAAAATCACTGCATGACGTGTTCAAGCACAGCAAGGAAGACATTACACAGGACCATTGCAATAGATGTAGGGGCTGCAATGGAATTTTGCAGTCGGGGACAGAGATGGGGCCCCACTGTGACCACAGCATGGGCAGGCGAGAATTTGCAGCCTAGGGAGCAGTGGATGGGGGTCAGTGGATGGAAAATTGCTAAAAGGATTCTAACAAAAATTCTTGCTGCAGACAGGCGAGGCGAGGGTGATCAGTTGGGGGTGGGGGGTGGAGGATGGGAACCAGATCAGATATGGAGGGTGACCAGGTATCTGGGGTGGGGGGAGGTTCCTGCTGAAACTGGATTTTAAAAGGAAGTGCTCAGCTGGGCGGAGGAGAAGGTTCAGGGGTCTGGCTACAGTGTGCTACAGTGTGGTGAAGCAGAGAAGCTTTGCCAGTCTTCACAATATGAGATCTAAGAGGTGGGTGTCATTATCACCATTCACAGTTGAGAAACTAGAGGCTTACAGAGGGTTAAGGAATTTGTCAAAAGGCACACAGCTGGTCAGTGGCAGCGCCAAGATTCTAATAAAATAGTCTGACCCCAAACCTCTGGACCGTCCTTAAGCTTGGGGACACCCCCAATGCCCCCCCAACTTTTCTGTGTCTCAGCTCGCTCCTGTCTGCCTTCCTACACACAACTCTTTTGTCCACCGTCTCTGTCTACCTTGTGCCCCAACCGGCACTGCAGTGACCCGCTGACCCCACTGGGACCCAGGCTCTGAGAAAATCCATTCCAGGCCCACTGTCCGCCCAGTGCTGCTTCCAGAACACTAGGCCAAAAGGAGGGTTATTACTGTAATTTTATTAATTGAGCATTAAGGCATGGCAGGCACTGTACCAAAACGAGAATGAAGGATGGCACTTGCCCAGTTGGCTTATAATAAACAAATTACTGTGATGCACAAGAAAACTCAAAGATAGAGAAGCCCATGTGGGTTTTAGAGTCACCCCCAGGAACAATGCTATAATCTGTGCAAATTGTGCGCCTGCACAGGGTGGCAGGTAGTGAGGAAGGGACAAACGAACTCCAGAATTAGGAACTGCCTGATTCCCTCCTCCTTGTGACTCCTGTGTCAAAGCCTTCTTGTCATTCCAGGGTTCGCCTCAGAGCCAGGGGAAGGAAATGAATGGGATGACAGTCTAGCCGGGCCCCCAACTCCAGCTTGGGCACCAGCAGACAGGGACACAAAGAGTCCAGGCTGGAGAGATTGCTGGGTGAGGGATGGCTCTATGGAGTGATGGGGCACCCTGAAGTTTTTAAGCCACTTTCTTGGAGGTAGAAGGGTGCTTCTAAAAGATGTGGCATTAAACCCATCCCAGAGTTGACACTTCTCACTTCAAATCCGTTGAGGAAGTGTCTTTGACAGGGAATGTTGGTTATAAGAGGCAGTACCAGCCTGAGCAAAATCATCATCATCATCATGATCAAGAACCAAGTTGACTATCAGGAGGCCACCTCAGTCTCCTACAAAACTCTAAGAACCCCAAGTGTCATATCTTACAAGAGGATGAAGCAATCTAGTATTTTGGGGGTTGCTAATTATATGCCATTCACAGGACTGGAAATATTTTCTCATAACAGCTTACTTGGCTGGTATTATTAGTTCTATTTTATGGATGAACAACCTGAGGCTTAGTGACAATAAACAATTTGCCCAAAATATATAAGATCTGATGACAGCAAGCTCAAATTCCCTATACCATGTTACCTGGGAGAACAAATTTCATGCAAACAATTCAAATTACCTCCAGCAATGTCCAAATTATTGGAACAACCTATTCTAATCCCAGTGAGGTTGAATCTAGTGAACAGTATGGTGCCAATGTCAGTTTCCTGGATTTGATCCTGTACTATAGTTATATAAGATGTTACAATCAGGGGAAGTGGGGGAAAGGGTATATGTGACCTCTCTGTACTATTTTTGTAACTTCTCATGAATTTATAATTATTTCACCTAAAATAGAAAAAAAAACCATTCTATACCATTTTTCTAAGCCTCATTATTCACGCAGAACACTGGTGTTTGCAATCCCAGTATAAAGTTCTAGAACTTAAAGGGCAGAAAAAGTTATAATAAACACTGAATCAAGTTTGGGTCACAGTCCTGACTGTAAGTGCTCAGTTCTTGATGGTAGGCGTTCTTTATTGTGTATGTAACAAAATTTCTAGGAACAGCTTAGCACCTTAGAGGAAGTTTATGTGCCTTCATAGCAACATGGATGGAAATTTGTCTAAATAGTTTCAAAAGCCCAGCTCCCATCCCATTTTGCAGATGTCCTTGTGAAACAAGAGGTTAAATAATTTGCAAACTGCATTCTGCTGGCTAGTCTCAAAGCCAAGAACAGGGCTGGGGCCGGAGGAGCATTCTGTCACTGCATGGATATTTTCCAGTGACTTGGGTGGGAAGCTAAGTGAGCACAAATTCTGCTACATCACACCAACAAATGCGTTTGCATATCATGTGCCCAGCATTATGTAAGAATTAAATAGTCATACTTCTCCTTTACTGGGATAAAAGAATAGGGTTTGCTTTTTCTCATGTTCCAATCATGATCATCAAACACCCACTCACTAACTGCAGGGCGAGAACTGACTTGAGGGGGAGTGTTTGCAGAACAATGGAAGTTAGACGTGTTCTTTCCCTCTAGAACTTTTCCTGTTGCTCTTACTAAAATCTCACATTGTTTGACTGGAGATGAATTATGACTGTACTTATTTGAAATTGCTTAGAAGTTGCTTGGCTATGCAGCATTTGATTTCAATTTTCCAGGCCTGTGCCAAAAAAAAAAAAAAAAAAAAAAATGCCATGTACAGAACTTTTCCTGTCTGAATTTTCCAGAGAGACCTTGATTTCAGAGGCTCTGTGTCAAGGTTTCTTAGCCCAAGATTATTCATTCTATTGAAATCTTTCCTGACAGTTGGTGTCCTCGTGGTGGAATGTTAATTGTCTGAATTGACTTAGAGAGGCATTGTTCTTCCTTTTTCCTACTCTCTACCCAGACCCTTCCCCCCAGCCCACCATCCACCCCTGAGTTAGAAGCTTCCAGTAAACAACACATTTTTTATGAGCATTGTACACGTCAGGAAGTATGTGTGACAGACATTCCTACTTCTGCTTGCCGGCGCTTTTATTAAAGTTAGATAAAATGTAGCCATAGAGAGAAATTGTAAGGGCTCAGCATTTTTTCTGAACCCACTAAGAAAAGAAAAAACACACAAAAAAAGGTAAAGAAATTACCGCCAAGGGACTGATGTTTAAGGGAACTCACCCTCCCAGTTTCTCCTCTGCGAGGCTTAGCACCCAAGGGTCAGCTCCTGTGACTTTCCAACAAGATCTTTCTTTCAAAGTCATCCTTTGTTTTTTTCCCACAGCCTCCCTTCTCTCAGGCCGGTTCTCAGCCAGGAAGGGCATCTTATTCAGCAAATCATTCAGTGATGAGTGTCAGATGCCAGTTTCATGGGAGAAGCTGCACCTCTCCGTCCATGAGCCTGCAGAAGTGAATTTCAGATCATGTGATTTGGTTGTGTGATTTCAGATTCCCCACTGGGACATATCCCAGCCACTCCATCAACAGGTTTAGCTGTTGGAAAGAGTGACCAGAGGCTAGTGACAAATGAAGGATCAAGTTGCTCAGCAATTTACTTTGGGTCCATGTTCTCTTCTGTGAGTCTGTTCCAGTAAAGCAAGAAGTTTTCCAGCTCCACTCTTTGCGGATTCATTGAATTACTGTCATACAGACAAGGAAGGCTTGAGGCAAGCAAGAAAGCAAGCTTCCACGTTCTGGCTGCAAGATGTCTACCTGTGTGACTACTACATCTGCCTTCAGAAATGTAGAAAGGACATGAAGCAAGGCAGAAAATATTAATAGAAAGTCGTTGTCATTGCAGACGGCAGCGTCAGAAGGTGTCAATTAACACTCTCTTCCTCCTGGCCGGCCTCATGGGCGAGGGTGATGAAGGCAAAACTTGGGAACCAGCCACTCTGCCTTCCTGGAATTGGAAGGGACCCTCCTGTCCTCTCTCTGTCACCATGACCTTTCTGTATTCCCTAACTCTTGATTTCACATTTTAACCTTGTTTAAATCATCCTGGTTAAAGGGAAAAAGTGAGGTTGAATAATTATCAAAATTCTAGCATTTCTTTTTTTTCTTTTTTTCTTTCTTTTTTTTTTTTCCAGGCTAGAGTGAGTGCCATGGCGTCAGCCTAGCTCACAGCAACCTCAAACTCCTGGGCTCAAGCAATCCTCCTGCCTCAGCCTCCCGAGTAGCTGGGACTACAGGCATGTGCCACCATGCCCGGCTCATTTTTTCTATATATATTAGTTGGCCAATTAATTTCTTTCTATTTATAGTAGAGACAGGGTCTCACTCTTGCTCAGGCTGGTTTCGAACTCCTGACGTTGAGCAATCCGCCTGCCTCGGCCTCCCAGAGTGCTAGGATTACAGGCGTGAGCCACTGTGCCCGGCCAAAATTCTATCATTTCATAGTCGTGGAGCCAGATTTTAATTTCTATACAGAGAGGATGCCAAGTCTGGATGGTTTCAGATAATAGCCCACTGAAGGGTCATAAACCTCATCTTTAGCTTTGCCAACCTCAATTTCTGCTTTTTAGTAAGTGTATGTAATTTAGGGTGATAGCTTCCGTTCTAACTACCATACAGCCACCCAAATTTTAATAAACAGTAACAAAGTGGGTAACAGAGTTGATGGAAAACCAAAGAAATCACCTTACACCAAGCCCTTGTTTTACCTGTGCACGATGAAAGGTGATCTGCTTATACAGAAAGATTTTTGGTTGTATAGTCAAGTTCATATTGCCGTTCTTCCATGGTCTGTATAATAAACTAATATTAGTCTCTAAAAAAAGAGTTACTGTTGTTTTTTTTTTTATTGTCATAAAAAACTGAAAAGAGTTAGAGAAAAGAGAGGAAGATAACAGAAAAAAAAAGCAATCGAGTGCAAAGGGTTAATTGAACTCTTGCTGTGTGGCTGATTCTGTAGCTGAAACAGGGAAAAAGTTTCAGTGAATTTCCCTAATCACCAATTTTCAGGTTCAGTCTTGGAGTGGTACTCTCTTATTCTTTTCTTTTCCTTTCCCTTTATTTGCTCTCTGTTGAATTTTGAGGCTCTTGACCCAAAGCTACCTGCTGTTAGAACCTTTTTCTTAATGCCCTAGTCCTGTTTAATTATTAAACAAAAGGTCTCCTTCATTAGAGGGTCCATAAACAAGGGAATGAGGGTGAAGAAGTGATTTTTCTGAGCAAATAATACAGTAGGTTAAGAAGCACTTGCTTTGAATACAGTCTTAGGAGATCCGTATCTGTATAAAATGAGGCTTAGCTGGGACTGTTTTGGCTACTGCTATTCCTTCTACTGTCTTCTCTTTAGACTGAGACTTTGGTGGACAGAGGGAACTTCATTGATACATATTTTAAAGTTCCACGAAAATTTTAGTTAATTTTTTATAAATGTATTCTACTAAAATCTCCATAAAGTAAGCCAAAAAAGAGACCCCCCCCCAAAAAAAAAAAAAAAAGAATACAAATTGGCCCAAACTCCCTACTTTCCCAATTGGGAAGTACTCAGTGAAAAAACAATGGTATTCATCAAAAAAGGAAAACAGAAAGGAAAAATAATCATTCCTTCCTAATCTTTGAAAGGTCTGGTTTTATGTACAAATATGAGTCCTTGGTTTTACAAATGAATTTGTAAAAATGTTTTCATTTTTTATTTTTTAGAAATGGAGTCTTGTTCTATTGCCCAGGCTGGTGTTGAACTCCAGGTCTCAAGCGATCCTCCTGCCTCAGCCTCCTGAGCAGTTGGGATTACAGGTGTGCACCATCATACCCAGCTTTTTACAAGCAGATTTTATGTCTCAAGTGTTTATTAGTAAGTCGGTGGCATTTCTCGCTTAATGTTATAAATTCTTGTTGTTAACCCCTCTGCCCAATAACATGTCTGAAAGTAGGGCAAATAGTTCCAACCTAAATATTCCTGAACCTTGTTATAGTTTTGCTACAGGATAATGTATTGCTGAGAGTCACAGGTTGGGCAGGGAAGCAAGGTTCTTTTTGTAGGGAGCTGTAGATACCAGGGATTAGAAATAAAGATGTAAGTAATACGTTTAAAACTTTAATGACCACAGTTTGAAAGAGCTTTTCCTTTTTCTGAACATAGATTAGAGCCTTCATCAGGCTCATGCGATGGAAAGAGAAACCTCCCTGGTTTTTTTTTTTTTTTTTTTTTTGGAGACGTTCTACAGGGAATTAAGTGCTTACAAAATCGGAGGAAGGGCCAGAGGGTTCTAGAAGAGCCTTCCAGAACAGCCCTGCTGTCTAGAGAGCTGTCCCCTGCCCCAGGTCAGGAAGGCAGGAAAGCCTGAAAGCTTGCATTTAGGAACCTTCCTTCTTGCTGAGTGCAGGATTAGAAGCCACACCCCTGCCACCCACCCTGCTAAAAACTAGACACAGGGATGTCACCCCTGCAGAAAATCCAGCTCCTCCGGCCACAAGGAGACAGCCTGGTCTCTTTTGCCTTCCAAATCTCTACCAAGAGCATCTTCTTGGCAGAGCCTAACTCCCATCCACAAGCCTAGTTGGGAGGAAGTCTGGAAATGTCATTTTAAAAGGAAAAAAAAAAAGAAATCCATCTTCTGGAGGACAAGCCAGCACACAGAAAGGAGGGGGTGGTGATGCTGGAATGCCAGCTTATCAAATCCCCCAGGATCCCTCGAGCCTCTGGGTTGCACGTTCTACTGTGTCTGTCACCCCAGCTCCAGGCACGAGGAAAAACATTCACACAAGTACCCAGTGGCCCCTTTTCTGCATTTGTGACCCTCTCTCTAGACTGAGCTCATTGCATCTTTCTGAACTTCCCTCTCCCACTTACTCTTTGGAGACCCCACTTCAGGAAAGCAAGTGGCACTTTCCAGACTCTGAACTGAACTTTGACCTCCCCACCTTGGCACCTTTGCTGAAGTTGACACTCTCCTGCGTGCCCTCCCCATTCCTTCTCACCCTTCAAGTCACACCTGTGCTGTGACCTCCATACTTCTCCATGCCCTCTGGCAGGTAAGGTCCCTTGCATTCGTTGACCGCTTTGTGTAGTTAGTTACTGCAATGACACGCTGCTACGTGTTGGAGATACTGCGTTATACATATAGATTAGACCACGTATAGACAAGAAACCTAGACAGATCCTAAACCGAGTTGGGGTCCACACTGCCTAAAATGCAGTCGATCTGCCTCTAATGCTCAAAACCATAACATGTGGCACTGCTAATCTGGGCATGTTTGTGTAAACTTTTGACCTCTGGAAGTACACTATTTTTGGGTTCTGACATCAGTATTTAGGGTAAAGGTTAATGTATGCAATAACTCTCTAGAATCTTCTCCTTAAAAGAAGGCATCGCTCAGGCATATTAAAAATTAACTCAAAATGGTATATCTGAAAATCCCACCTTGATGTTTCTTCCACAACAATGGCTTTTCTTCCCAGCTGCCAAGCTCATGGAAGAGACCTTCTCTTCTACAATCTCTGTGGGTCCCTCTCGATCCCAACAATGCGCTGTCCAGAGTTGACTTTCAGTAATGCCATTGACTTAGCCACTGGCTGGTATCAATAGATCTGATTGATAAGAAATAATTCAGATTAAATGTACATTGTTGCATGGAAAACGAGATTTTGGTGCACATAAGATTTTATTCAAGGATTATTTTTTTCAATGATATTTAAAGAAAGGTGTTATGTAACAGCCAGATTTTTGTCTAATTAAAAATATTTGATTTTCAAATAAATATTTCTTGAGTCACCATCTCTCTAAGACTTAGGCATGGCCTCCCCTGCTCTCTCTGCCCAGCCCCTCCTCCCAAGAATCCACCCTTACCTGGGGTGAGGTATCCACACACCTGTCAGTGGTGGTCCTTGGTATAAACCAACCCTGGGAGGCTTGGTTTCTCCTAGAAAGGATGATAGGAGAGAGGGTTCTAGAATAATGTAGTCCGAGGCAGAAGTCCCTGAAAGAATGGAGCCCAAGTCCTGACTTTGCAACTACCAATAGTTGGCTCCCAGGAATTGGTGGGGAAGCCTCACATAGTAGCATGAAAGCATATGACTCCTAAACTTATTATTCCTGAAATTCCTGGCTGCCAGGAATGAAGGAAGCTGATGACTCCTTGACCACAGGAGGGTGGAAATCAGAAGTCTCTGAGATCCTTTCCTGGGTTTATGAAGTGGTTGTATGTTTTCAGGAATGGGGGAGAGTGCCAGGTAGGGACAACAGGACTGAGAGGGGAGCCAGAATTCGTTGTTGTTGGGTTTTGTGAGCAAGGTGCAAGGTGAAGGCAGGAAAATCAGGAGGGATCAAGGCATTTGCACCACAATCTGGAGTCTTGAATGTGAATTTATTTACCAATTCACGTTTTCCAAAATAGCTAACTCGTCAAAACACGAGAATGATTATAACAGGACCACGAAGAGTGAAATGTAATCTGGAATTGGTTCTTTTACAAATATCATTGCCCAAAATGTTTTACACATTAAGACTGGAACATAGGGGGAAAAAAATAAAGCATTTTATTTATTTATTTTTTTTTTGCTGCCCATGAAAGTTTATTTGAAGTCTTGGCTAAGGCCTGAAGTCTAGAGTGGAGTCTGGTGGCTAGCTGAAACTTGAATGTGATTAATTCACTGTATCTAACGATGAGCTTCCAAAGAGTACTGTCAACCTTTGTCCTCTAGACACTCACACCCACTCACCAAATAAATTGATGGTCTAGCTTTTTTAAGAAAAAAAGCTTGCATTAAGTAGAAAATATTTTAAAACCTGGGGAGAGGTGGCAATCCCACTCAGCATGATAGGAATAGTACTTGGAGAGAAGTAATATATGAGTCACAAACCAAATGGGCTGAGCCATCCAGGAGGGAGGATGGGAGAGACTTTAACTGGAGGAGCTGAATGTCAAATCTGCTGCAGAAGTTGTAGACTAAATCTTCAGATATTAGAGCAAACCATTCAACTAGCACTCCATGAAGACAGCTGCAGTTGTGATGTGGAATACAGTGTACATTTATTGTTTGGCTGGTGAAGCATCCAATTCTCTTTCATTTGGTAATGAAACACATATTTTCCTAAAGGATCTACCCAGGTGATTTAGAGCTGGCGCCAAGGGTGGACATTTTATTCCAGATCTGGCTAAGTAGCCTGTACATCCCTGTGTCTAGACACATCTCACAGGTGAGAGCATGATCCAATAGGTCACAATCAGACTCAATTCCAGAACTTTTTTGTTTTTTTAAACTCTTAAAATCAAGGCAGACTTTTCCAACAGGAATGAATGAGAGGAGTGGATAAAAGCTGGCAAATGTTGGCAGCCCTTTTGGCACCATGAGGTAAGAACATAAGAATGGACCCCAAACAGGAAAACAGAAGTAGGAGTTGTAAAGAGGAAGATGAGCCCCTGAATTCAGCCAGTATCCGAAGCTAACCCTCCCTTGGGTCTTCGATTGTTAATAAACTCGTCTTCTTTTTCCTGTAAGCCATTTTGGATTGGGCTTTCTGTTCCTACAACAGAAAGAATCTGGCCGTACAGTTGGAGAGCAGAGATGGTGGGTGTCACAGTTTGCTGTCTCTGCATGCTGCTTGCAGGGTGAGGTGGCACCTACGTTAACTTTCCGATGCTCATTGACTGTGGTTGTTATCACAGTGAAGAAGAACTTTCCAGAAGCCTAGACTCTTTTGGGTGAGGCACCTTGAGGCCATTTCCCACGTGGGTAAGCAAGTGACGGACACACAGCAGCGAAACCAGCAACTCTGGATGTGCTGGCCAGTGACTTCTCATTCCTACTTTCTACCAGGTAAAGAAGGTTTCTTTTATTTTGTTTTATTTCAAGAAAATATGAAAGTACGAACATTTTGGTTGCATTTTATACCTTTGCCTCTCCCTAGCAAAGGGTCCTTGGTGATTCTTTGTGCATGCAAGTCTACGTTTTTATATAATTTGAAACTTAATCTGCCTGACATCAGTTTCTCTTTTCGCTTGTCACACACACGTGAGTCACAGACACCAACGGTGACCTGTCTGGCTTCTCCCTTCCATAGCGGGAACCTCAATGTCCTTCATATGTCAGTCTTTGCTATCCGCCACCACCTGTGAGCTACCTTCTGCGTCACAGAAAAGAGTCTTTTTTGTGTGTGGGGGTTAAATTGCAAAAACCAGACCCTAATATGATAAATATTTTAGAATTCGACCTTAGCTGAAAAACTAAGCTTTCAAATATGAATGTTATCCTGGCCAATAAAAATAGAGAATGCCATAGAGGAGTTAATTAAACATAATAAACAGGCAGGACAGGAAGCTGCTATTTTTCCTGTCTCCAAAGATTCTATTACGGAGGAAGGAAGGGCTAATCCACAAAGAACCAGGAACATGAGAAGAATGGAAGGTTTGACAGCAGGGACTGAGTGTTTGGCAGAGAAGAAAAGCAAAGTCACGGATTTCAACCTCCGTGGGGGTTTCAGCCCACCCTTGGGGGAAGGGGCAGGTAAAACAAAAGTGCTCGTGCAGATCAGTTATCTACAGAATTCACGGTGTAAAATGGCAAAGTTTATGGTTACAACACTACCCTGGGGTTTGTGGGCAGGTGTCCCCAAATAGCTTTGGGGAACCACATAATACATTTTAAAAAGCTTGGAAGATTGAAAAAAATAAATGCAGGGAAGGATATTAAGTGGAGAAAGAAGATACAGGCAGGGGAGAGGGGAGAATGTGAATGAAGGATTAGAAAGAGAAGTCTTGGCCGGGTAAGGTGGCTCACGCCTGTAATCCTAGCACTCTGGGAGGCCGAGGCAGGAGGATTGCTCAAGGTCAGGAGTTCGAAACCAGCCTGAGCAAGAGCGAGACCCCCGTCTCTCTAAAAAATTAGAAAGAAATTAATTGGCCAACTAAAAATATATATAGAAAAATTAGCCGGGCATGGTGGCGCATGCCTGTAGTCCCAGCTACTGGGGAGGCTGAGGCAGGAGGATTGCTTGAGCTCCAGGAGTTTGAGGTTGCAGTGAGCTAGGCTGACACCATGGCACTCTAGCCCGGGAAACAGAGTGAGACTCTGTCTCAAAAAAAAAAAAAAAAAAAAAAAAAAAAAAGGAAAAAGAAAGAGAAGTCTTCCTAGTGTTGAAATATGGAAACTTAAAAACAGTTCATTAAAGAAACCAAAAAAGTAATGCACCCCACTGCAAAATCGAAACAGGACTGGGGACTGGAATAACTTCAAAAGCCTCAATATGAAAGTGGACAGACTATTTCTGCATGATTTTACAAAGATCCAATGGCCTTCTCCCAAACACAGAATCTCATGAAGTCAATACTGGTGCGATGAACATGAAACGAGGAGGGAATCACCTGTTTCCACGAGTTTGGAGAAGGCCACCCAGCATGTGACATGGTAAGAGTGGCTGTAGCAAGGAAGACATCGCCCTTTGCTAAACTCGAGGCTGCTGGGATGAGGAAACAGGTCACAGCATGCGTTTCCCGGGGCCAGGCCTTGTCCCTCTCCCCCACAACCTGAAGATAGCTGCTCACATCTGCTCTCTGTGCCTCCCCCGCGGAGTGTGCCATCTGTCCCTGCCAAGACAAGAGAAGCCAGAGGGAAAGGCAGAGGGGGACAGCCACACAGAGCCCCGCGGTGGACTCCAGGGTCCTGCTTAGAGGGAGGAGACCCTAGTCAACTCGTGCTAAGTGGGCCAATGCTAAGAGATAGAAACAAAAAATCTTTCTTGTGATTTTGAAACTAATCTCTAAAATAACCACTTGAGCTGGAAGGGGAGCAGTAGTTCTGCAGACAAGAAGGTTGAAGGAAAATCTGAAAAGGAAAAAGGGCAGAATGAGATTTCACCACTGCAACCCAGGGAATATTTATTCATTGCTGCACCAGAAATGCAGAAAAATGCAGGTGAGCTGGCCAGCACCTTACAAGAGCTGGGACCATTTAGTGGGGAAAAGAACATCCAGTTTTCTATAGTCGACCAGCATGTAGCTCCACGTATGCATAGCAATGAAGACGAAGACATATTGAGTTAGGGTCAGAGAATGAAAACAATTTAAAAAAAAAAAAGAAATAAGAACATTGAAGCAAGGTTGAGGATTGCAATAATTCAAATAACCAAGGAAAGAAAATCGAAATGAGAAATTGAGGTCTAAACCTTCCCCAACCAAATCAAAACAGTAGCCAGAGCTGAACTTGTCGGTATACTGAGAATTACTTTCCAAGGAAGTGATTATAACACTCCACTGGGAAAATTTGGGCCTTGAATGAATCCCTGTGGGTCGTCTACAGGGGGATGTCACATGTAAATAACGACGTGTGGCCCCTCCTGACCACATTTGTAATAAGGGATTAAAATAAACATCGAATCTTCCTTCAGGTCGGCTGCTGATAAGGAGCAAAGGAAATAGAGAAGAAAGCCATTTAGAAATTTAAAATAAAAGGCAGACAACTCGGCATTAGCTTCTGCAGCAGAATGATGTGACTCACAGCAATTTTCCATGCATTTCTGAATAACAGGAAGACATGATTCTGTAAAGAGGCTGGAGCCTCCTATGTTAGATATCCTGCCCCCACGGCTTCAC